CTTATATGGGCTCCATGTAATTAATTTCATATATCAATGAAATTGTTTCTTTCACAAAAAAAGTGGAATATCCTTGAACCTGATTTTTTTGATAGATAATTCAAGGCTTTTTTCAAAATGAGAAATTAAAGAAACGTTCATTGTCCCTAATCCCTTAGCCCATCTAAAAGTACTGAATGTAGACCTATCAACTTGGATACAGGAGTCTACCAAAGCCTTGTCAAGTTCCTACCGACATGCTTAAGCAAGCAATATAGCACTATTTCTCTAATCAGTTTGTCTTTTTAACAGGTAGGAAAATCACAGGTTCTATCTTTATTGTGAATGAATTGTGAAATATTGGAACATGAAAATCAAAGGAGTGATCTTCAAACTTGACATTGAAAAGACTTCGATAAAAGGGGTGGACTAGGATTACTTCTTAATATCGTTCATATTAGAGGTCTTGGCTCTAAATGGAGCTACATATCTTCATTTACATTTCTACTCTCATTTTTTGTTTTTCGTCAGCATTAGTGTTTTAGAGTGCCTAGGCTTGGTTCACAGAAAAGCAAGGGATAAGAAGTGAGTCACCGTCACAAAAGTAACACGAATTGTCAATGCAAGTGCACACGTAGTGAGTAAAGCCCCCATTTTATTTATTTATATATTAATGATTATTATTATTATTTAATAAGAAACGAAACTTTCATTATTGAAAAGAGAAAGTACAAAAGAGGGATGTGATATCCCCACTCTGCCAACACGTAAGTCTCCCAATTTGGGTACAAAAGGGTTTAGTAATAGAAGACCATAAAGAAACAAATATTTTCAACAAGATCCCATAAGTATCGTATCTGGTGGAATATCCTTCTATTTCTTTCATACCTCTCCACAACAAACCACCACTAAATTAGACCAAAGGATGTTCGCTAGGCCTCTAACACTTGTCCCAACTATGAGCTTACAAACACATCCAAAGCTTTGTTATTTAGCAACCAGCTAACATTGAACGTGTTAAGCAAATTCGCCCAACAAGCAACTACAAAAGGGCAATATAGGAAGAGATGCATTGAGTTTTCTACCTTAGCAAAGATTCACGAGAAAACCTCGACTTCTTTGGGAATCCTCCCTTGATTAACCTTGGCATGCCCTTTTAGGGAATCCTCAGATTTTCTCCTGTTGTAACCCAATCTTTAAAGAAAATGAACAAAGAATTGACAAGTGGAAGAAAGAACAACCATATTTCCAGTCTGCTAGAGTGGATAGATTAACTCTAATGCCTATTCTCACTAGATTTTTGTAGCTCCTAGAATTATCCCAAAATAAAAAGAATAAAGAAATCTATGTAGTGTTTATGGGAATGTCAATGTGGACTCCAAGAAGTCACCAAAGTCAAGGTGGAATAATGTCTATTGCTACTCTTCTTGCAAGAGACTTAAAGGCCCTTGGCTAAGGCAAGATTAAGGAAAATAACACTTCCCTCCGAAATGGCTCTAAAGATTCTATTTATGGTAAAGAAGATCTAGAAAAGTAGATCGTGCTAGCAAATACAATGCTCCATCTGTTGGTAGCATGCTAATAAATTTTATTTTACTAGCACAAGAAGTCCTTTAACGCACATCTGGAAGCTCTGTCCTTGTTCAAACTTCAGATCTCACCACAAGACACATTGTTAATGTTACTGACGGGACTAAGACCCTCTAGGTTTAGTTGCATAATGGAAAGTCAACATTTTCCTACCTAATAAATTCCCAAGAATCTTTTCCCTTCACCTTTTTTTTTGGGTTATTCGTGAATGTTCGGACCAGCTTACGCGCACCTCGACTAATCTCATGGAGCAGCCGCCTAAATCCTACACATTTCGTACCGGGAAACACATAGGAAATTCCTAAGGTAGGTGGCCATCATGGGATTTGAACTCATTCCCTCTCACTTTACCCTGACCCATTTGGACCAATGGACCACCCATGACGATTTTTTCCCCACACTCTTCATGAAAATATTATGTTAAATAGGCTTGTGATCCTTTACATGTCTTTTAGAACATCACCCTTTATCAACATTTTGGACAAAGAGGTGACCACTTAGAATTCATAGATTTCATAAAAGGTTTCACTTTGTCCATAGGTGGAGATTCCACAAAGTGACTATTTGATAGCCAGGGCTTATTCACAATTAAATCTTTCTTCAATCATCTTACTGATGGTAAGCCAACCTCCTTTGTACCTTCTGTAAAATGTTATGGAAGTCCTCCCTTCCACAGAAAGGTAGTTTCTTACTGCGGTCGCTTACCCTTCAAGGCTTAAGCCAAAATGACGGTATCCAAAAAAGAAACTCCAATGGTTCTACCTCAAAACCAGCAGTCCAAACTACTACTAACATTGCAAAAATAGTGGTGAAATACACAGTCACGCTTTGGGGCTTCATCTTCAACCTTTTTGATAGCACACTTTGTGAGCTACATTTCATGAGATTTATATTGAAATTATTTGTTAGTTTTCGTTTCTTTGTGACAAATTTAAGCACATAAGATATATTTTGCAGGAATAAAGCATCGGGAGGAAACGAGACATTTCTGGATCAAAATGAGAGAAAAATCGGAATCAAAGTGACCAAGATGGAATAACAAGAAGATTTGGAGCTAAAAACCAGAGGAGATGCCACGGCGCTAGCCTAGAGCGCCACGGCACTCCGAAGTTTATATCTCGCATTTGTGAATAGTGTAGCACCATGGCCCTATATATAGTGCCACAACGCTGCCCCGACAACTTTTTATAAAAAAGTTGTCGAGACCGCCGAAAAAGGGGAGTTTTGAAGAGGTTTTATGGCAGTTTGCCTTTTTGGCCAAATTAGAGGGCAAGGAGACCATTGGAGAGCTTAGAAAAGTGATTTTCAAGGCTCGGGATCGTGGAGGTCGCTTCGGGGACGGACGATTGACACGCCGAACATAGTTTCTTCTCCTCTCCCTTGATTTTTCTAGTTTTGTTATGGACTTCTCATTGTGATTTTATTGTTTTACATTGAATATGAGAAGCTAAACCTCTCATCTTAGGGATTGATGTAGCCATTGAACTTTAAGCATTGATTGTTTAGTTTTCTTGATTGAATGTTTATGAATGTTCTATTTATGCTTCTCTACGCTTCATACCTTGAATCTACTAGCCATAGATCGATTGATTTTAGATTTGAAATCTTACGCTCGGGAGAGGTGGTTTAGAGTTAGAATTGGGATGCATAACTAAAGGGGTTTTAAGATCGGGAGATTTATAAGTTCTTTAGAGGTCGTTAAAAGACTTATTCAATAAAGTCTTTACTTGTTATAGAAACTAGATAGGGATATTGGTTTCATAATTGGTAAGGAGAATTAGCTTGCGCTCGGGAGGGACAGTTGAGATTTGAGAGTTCTTGGCCTATAGAATTAATAATTCGTTCAATCTTGATTAATTAAGTAGTTGGTTCATAGATTCAATAGATGAAATCAATTCCCTAGGACCTTTCTCCCCATTGTTTTTATCTTTGTTATTGCTTGTTTATTTCCTTTGATTATATTCTCCAATTTTAGTTTGATTCTCTAAATAAAAGTGAGCGATTGTATCTGTGGTACTTGAGTGATCTAGAAACCCAATCCAGGACGATATCGGTATTTGACTTACCACTTTATTAAAGCTTGACCCGTACACTTGCGGTAAGCAATTTCTACTACACTTTTCCACTTCAATATGCCATTTTCTCACTTTGTTTATTGATTTTTATTTATGGCCAAAAGTTCCAAGATCAAAGAGAAATTCTACGGCAGAATGTTTTGACACTTTCTTGTGAATCTATGTCGATGACATATTTGGTTGGAATGCAAAAGAAGAATCTATAACTTTGAATAAAGAGCCATTGGTCAAATTATATTTTCCTGTCAGACTCGTCTTGGTGTACTGACCTCTTGGTGTGTCAAGTCAAATCTTCTTTTTTTTTCTCAACTCTCTTAACTTCTATACACACCAATGGGACAACTTTTTGTTACTACTTACTCCTTTGGTGCTCCTTTTGTAATATCGTTCATATCGATGAAATTTAAAGTAAAAAGTTAAGGATAATTACAAGCATTAAGTCGTCAACCCTACAAGGTTAAAAATAATTCATCTTGACAAGTGTCAAACCATTTTTCGCAGGCAGCCAAGCATCAAGTGGTTTGCAAAACCAAATACCCTTTATGATTCATTTTCTTCCATTGTTTTTTCCTTCCCCCTCCCTTTACAGAAATAGGATCGATCAATCTATTTGGAAATGACAAAAAAAATAATAATAAATTTGCCATAGGTCTCCATGTTGATTTGCATGTAGCCCCTTGAATTTTAATTTTTTTTATGAATTATCCTTCAATTTTCTACTTTGGATTGAGTATAGAAAGAAAGCCCAGACCATGACGTTACACAACTTAAATCCCCAGCCTCCATCCCAGTGAGTTACTGGGAAAGTTGGGTATTAATTGGTCGGTATCCTTGTGATTAAAAATAAACGAGGATAACCTGCAGTGGAAGTTTCTCCTTGGCTAAACACCCAGGGTGATTCACGGTAAGGACTTGGGATGTATGACTGATTCTCTCCAAAGTCTTTGAGTTCAAGCATCAAGTGGAAAGTGGGCAAAGTTTTCTTGAGAAATTAGTAGGTGTAGACCATGAGCATATAATACAAGGAGCGAGGCCCTTCATACCCAATTATCAGAAAAGGCATACAAGTAAACCAATTTAGTTCTCAGAATTACAGTTAAGAACAATACACTCCCACTAGAAAACTCAGAGCACGTCACAAAGACCTCAAGGAACTCCTGAGCGGAGGAGCGACCACTATCCCTCACAAGCCACAACACACAGCCGACTAAAAACAGCCTAGACGAGAAACTTGGTACAAAGTACTCTACTGAATGAGAAGTTAATGAACGAACGTGACCAACAAACTATAGTAAGAGCGCCCTCTGCTCCATCTTCCTAATACAAGAAACTATTATATCTCTTAAAAATATGTACCTGGGTTTCAAGGTCGTATGAGAAGCGATGTCTCTGGAGGAATATTTCTGGGAGGGGCCGAAAATTCGAGTGCCACCTTGTTCGTTTCCACCTTTAGCCGGTGCCCATGTAGGTCGAGCTGCAGTAGTCATCTCTAGATTTTTTACTCGTCTCCTCGGCCCTTGAAATGCCAAGAAAATGAAAGACGGTACTTCAGATCGGAAAGTAAGAACGAAAGTATCGGTAATATGTGAAAAAACGCACTCACACAAACCAAAGAAAACCCTAGGTCGGAAACTTGATACGAATCAAATTGAATGAACAAAAATGAAAACTTGAAGTTTGAATCCAAAAGATGAAAAAGGACGGTAGGGGATTACCTCAGAAATCTCCTTTCTGACTGATTACCGATCGGCCTGCGGATTTGAAACCAGAGATTGATGATTATGAAAGAGGAAAAATCGTCGTGCGAGAGGTCAGCCGTCAAGTAATTGAGAATTCAGGCTTTGTTGCGAATCGGGTTTAAATCCAAATTCCCAATTTCGGTTCGACAAGCGAAACCCGCAGACCGGCGGCTAATTTTAGAAGGAATTTTAAGAAAAAAACCGCATATCAAATTTTACGATAAAGTTTTTGTTTTTGTTCTATTTTTATTATAAAATACGATCGTATCAATTACTCTTTAGATATACTCATTTGGATAATTATTACTGTAAAGTTTTGGTTACATACAATTGAATTCTAAATTAAGATAGCTGTACCAATTTATACTCTCGCATTAATTTCTTGACAAAAATTAAGGTTAAATTACAAAGTTAGTCCCTAAACTTTCAAATCTATGTGAAGAATCGCATAAATTATATTAATTTGAGAGGCATCAATGATATATAATTTGATTATAAAAACCTTCTTATTCTAACTTCACCTCAAATTACTTTTCACTCACTCTTTCCTCTCTCTCAATCACGTATTTTCTCCTCTTGAGACCTTCACCATTTTTTCCTTATTTTTTTCATTTCAAATTTTTTAACTCAATTTTTTTTATTCTTTATTTTTCTCTTTCAAAATTTTTCTCTGATTCTTTATTTTGTTTTTCAATTTTTTTTATTCTTTATATTTTTCTCTTTTTCAAAATTTTCTTCTAATTCTTTATTTTGTTTTTCAATTTTTTTCCATAGAATCTCCATATTTTTCATCTCTATTATTCGTTCTCCCGTGTTAGCGAGATAATTGGAAAATTTTGTCAAAGTTAGCGAGATAAATTGGGGAAACTCACTAGCGTTAGCGAGAGAGTGTTAGCGAGAGAATGGGGAAAGGCCGACGATAGCAATATAAGAGAGAGATGAGAGAAAAAAAAATGAGCCATTAAGAGAGAGGAGAGAAAACAAAGGAGTGATAGAAGAGAGAGAAAGAAGAGAGAGAAAGAAGAGAGATAAAACAATTAGCGTACGATGTTAGAAAAAAAGGAGAGAGAGGAGAGAAAGAAAAACAAGAGAAATAAAGCGATAGAAAAAAAAAGAGAGTGATAGAGCGATAAAAAGGAGCGACAAAGCAAAGGAGCGAAAAAAGAATAGGGAGGAGAGAGAAAAAAGAAGAGCAATAGAGCGATTGAAAAAAGAAGAGCGATAAGAAGGAGCGACAGAGCAATAGGAAAAAAGGAGAGACAGAGCAATACGAAAAAGGAGTGACAAAGTGATAGGAAAAAAAAGTAATAGGGCGATAAAAATGAGCGACAGGAAAAAAAAGAACAATAGATCAATAGAGAAAGGAGAGAAAAAAATGAGTGATCCAACCATAGAAGAGAGAGGTAGAAAAAAATTAGCATGAGCAATCCAACGATAGAAGAGAAAAAAAAAAGATTAGAGAGGAGAGAGGAAACAAATTTGCAAGAGAGGGGAGAGAGAAGAGATGAGAGAGAGAAATCAAGATCACAAATGAGAGGAGAAGAAATGTAACGCCCCCAATTTCACTACAAGGAATGGGGTACCGTTGCCATAACTATTCACCCTTTTTCCCAATAATGAAACATGAAGTGGAAAACCCGTGGGGTTTCTGTCGCAATCGAAAAACCTGGAAATGCATATTTTCCTCAGTGGCTAATAATTCAAATCAAGAAAAGAACCAGATCCTAGAAAACTCATAATTGCCTTAGTGGCTAATAATCCAAATAAAGTAAGTCTCAATTATTTGTTTCCACAATTCAAAATTTGTCCTGGTTTTAAATAACAATAATAATCAGCACAACTAATAGTTCGGTAAAAAAATATATATATGAAATAAGGAAGAACGTCCCATGAGTCAACCAAGACCTAATACCACTAGCAATAAGTCTCTAACGCGAATAGCGATGAAACCTCAGCCCAACTATCCTAGACAACACGCAGCTAGTGGTCCCTCCTCGGTCAAGCCTCCTCAACGTCATCACCACAACCGAGGGTCATGTTCACACCTGAAACCAACAACATAAAGGGGGTGAGTATATAAAATACTCCGTAAGTAGCCCTCACCAAACAGACACCAAATAGCATACTTACAATCACAGCGACATCATACTCAATAATTAAAGAAACAAGCATCAAGAAACTATTAACAGTAAAGTGACATCTCGACACTCCAACCAATTTCAGAACTTCGTGACTTTGATTTGCACGATCCGCTAGCCCCTAACTCCTTCAATATACAACTCGTACTAAACCCTAAGTTAGTATTCCAAGTCTAGCTCTTTGAGGCGCATCGACCTTTGACATTTATCCCCAAGGTACCGACATCCCTCTACAGAAGCTTGGTGTTCAACCTTGCCATTTATCCCCAAGGTCTTGAACTATGCACCGGTCCTTGACATTTATCCCCAAGGTACCGACATCCCTCTACAGAAGTTTGGTATTCGACCTTGCCATTTATCCCCAAGGTCTTGAACTATGCACCGGTCCTTGACATTTATCCCCAAGGTACCGATGTCCGCTCAACGTATTGGTCCTTGGCCTCCACCACGTGTGGACTCAATACTAGTCTCATTAGACTCATCATGCCGACCACCGACCCTTTGTACCTGGAGCCTCGACACTCCTCTCTACCAAACTGGTGTACTGATCCCCGACCTTTTGTACCCGGAGCATCGACACCCCATAGCAACGTATCAGACCCCAACCTTTCTCTCGCAAGGCCCTAACACTCAACCAACATTCTACCCGTAACAAACAACATTGACGTTCCCCCTCTTAGCTTTCAACAGGGGTTCCAACTCACGATATTCCATCCTGCTAGTCACAACAACCTTCACAACAAGGAAAAATCCAACATGCTTATAACTGGACAAAAGTAACCACAATCAGTCTTCTCATAATGCCAGACATTCTACTCACACGTTTAGCACAAACGCCACTTTCTACCATACAACAGATGCAACAATACCCTCGTATAGCAGTCATCAAATATAATGTATACCTTATGTACATAGTCATTTCAAACGAAACCCCAGCAACCTATACATATTACTCAACTAGGGATGGCCATAGAAGCCCGTCTAACATTCGCAGGAACATCGATACAACAATCACACTCAGAAACATAAAATCCAACAGATGCTTCACAACATTCTAGCCAACCTCAATTAGTAAAGCTCAGCAACAGCAGACATTCACATCTAGACAAGCACAGACAACAGCGTAAGGACTCATTCAAGGTACTCGGCACACAATCACTCACACACACACCCCTAGTACTATTTACACACTGCTAGGCTTCCAAAACATGCGTCGATTCAACACCTAAGCACCAAGAGA